AGCTTACAGGCTTCTTTTAAAGGCAAAAACCACAAACTACAAGCGGTAGAAGTGGGAGGGGGTAGTTTCGGGTAAGTGGCAGAAGAGGCAGAAGTGGGAGGGGGAGCGGCAGTAGTGGGAGGAAGTTTCGGGTGATTTTCAGCTTTATGCACGGAGCATGAAAAGGTCAGCTTTTTCTCAGTGGTTAGAATTTTATATCTTACTTTTTTGTACAGTTTTCTAGAATATTTTTTTTTTGGTCTGGGGGGACTTGGTTTGATTCCATCACTAGTTGGTACAGGATTTAGGTTCTCTCAGATTTAATTTGGAGGGAACTGATGGCTTCAGATCAGCTATTCAGGAGTACCCACAGAAGCCCAATTCAGGTTCCAATCAGGTACACTCAGGCTTCCTCCACCACATGGAGGCAGGATCCATGTGCTCTGAGGCAGTCCACCTCTCAGGCTATCTGCTAGGATCTCAGCCTTAACCTACTCTTAGATTTTTGGAAAATAAAAGGAAAGATAGAGGTGTAGGAGACAAGAAATCAGAGCCAGACCTGCAATAGGCAAGGAATATATCTTCCTTTATTCAAAGAAGATACAGTGAGAAGTAGAGACCCTCTGAGGGAACCAAACTTCTACAACTAGATAAAGAAAATGGGTGTGTTTTATACCAGGGTTGTGGGCCACAGCTACACTTAGTGGGGAGTTGAGTTAGTGCCTGGGCTGGTGTCCTTGGAGTAACTGAGGGTCTCCTCAGGATTATTTCCCCAGAAACTGGCAGGAGTGTTATTTATGGCCTTAGAGGAGACAGGTGAGCCCCACAAACACTTTCTCAAGGGCTTGGGAGTGACCAACTGATAAAGGGTGAGCAGAGCCAGGCTTGAGCAAGGCCAGGCTGTCAATTAAGAGCCAGCCAGTTAGACACTTTAAGGGATTTATGGCTTTCCCTAATGAGGCTTCTGGCTCTTCTGCAATTCACACATTCTATCACCTACCAAAGCCAGATCTGCCCCTGGGGCCTTGGGAGGGGCCTCATGAAATCCCAGGTAGGGGGATGGGTATGGTGCAATTAGGGGAAGCTTACCACTTGGAGGCAGGATTGGGGGCTCTCAGGCAGTCCTGTGTTCTCTGGCCCTCTGCCAGCGGGAGGCCAGATCTCTGGTGGTCTGCTGAGATCAGAGCTGCTACACTGATGGAAATGGGAACCCACCCTCTCAGGCTGTCTGCTAGGATCTCAGCCATAGCCTATCAAAGCCAGATCTGCCCTGGGGCCTTGAGAGGGGCCTCACAAAACCCCAGGTAGGGGAATGGGTGTGGTGCAATTAGGGGAAGCTCACCACAACGTGGAGGCAGGATCTGAGCACTTTCAGGCAGTCCAGAACTCGGCACTCTCTGGGGGTCTGTTGAGATCGGCTCTCCTATTTTCTGAATGAGAACTACAAAATGCATAGATCACTCTGCAGACACAACCAGTGTATTTTTTCCTACAGACTCAAGACATCTCCAGGCTCTGATACCAATAATTTTTTTTTTTTTTACATTTATGTGTATGCTTGCAGTAGTAGTTGTCCTTTACCCACTGAGCCATCTCACCAACCCAGAGTCCTGATTTTTACTGGGAGTCAGTGACACAGGTAGGGAATTGCTCTCAGAGTTGATCTTGCTTAGTCACTTCTAACCTCTCTAGAGATCAGACTGTTACTAAGTAGCTCAGGGCCCCAGCTAAACAAAGATATTCATATCAGGTGGCATATGCCAAAGGCTTAGGAGTTCTCTCCTGGGTTTGCGAAGACCAAACATTTCTCTGGAATATGCAGGTTGTTAGGCTTGGCAGCAAGCACCCTTACCGCTGAACCACCTTGCCAGCTTCTAGTTTGGACTTTTTTTTTTTTTTTTTTTTTTTTGAGACATGGTCTCCCTGTAGCCCCGGGCCTAGACTTGTAGATCAGGCTAGCCCCGAACTTACAGTGATCCTCCTGTTTCTTCCTTCCAAGGGTTAGATCATAGGCTATGCCACCATACCCAGCCAGGAAATAAGTTTTGAGAGATGAAAAAAATCCCCACTCCTCAACAGAAGAGCTGACCTGAATCTTCCTCAGACTAAACTAAAGACCTTGTTCTGGCTTCAGCCCAACCCAGGCAGCACAAGCATGGCTCCCCAGGGACAAGAGATTAAGGGAAGGAAGGGCCTTTGAGAAGGAAAACCTGGCCTATCAGCTAGATTTCAATAGAGACTGAGAACAGAAAGTCAGAACTTGTAAACATATCCTAAAAGGTAGAGTTCAGTGAAATTTCTTTAGTCTTTTTTGGTTTTGTTTTTCATTGTTTGGGGGCTTTTTGGGGGGGCAGGGGGCTCTAGTAATCAAACCATGTACTCTACCACTGAACAATTTTCTCCCAGTATGAGAAAAATAATAGCTTTTTAGAATCTTCATAGCTTTCCAATATTGGGATAAGCATTTGCTTTTAATACTTTTGTAGGACTGGGAGTGTAGCTTAGTAGTAGAGTGCACACATAGCCTGCATAGGCCCTGGGTTCAGTCCTCAGCACCAAAAACTAAAAAATAAAATAATTTAGAAATAAAACCTTTGTGCATAAAAGTCAAACCTTCAAACAAAAACATGACCACAGCGGGGCGTAGTGGTGCAGTACTTGGGAAGCAGAGGCAAGAGGATCTCTGTGAGTTCAGCCTGGTTTACATAGCAAGTTCCAGGCCAGCTGGAGCTACAAGGAGACCCTGTCTCACAAAGACCAAAAATTATATACTTTTCCTAGTAAAAGGTTGTAGGGGCATTATAGTGTAAGAGAGAAAAACCACAGAGGACAAGCCAGCCTTCGGGTTGCAACAGCAAGAGGTTTATTTAGTACACAGGTACCTGTGGGCACAAAGTCTCCTTGGGGGACTTGCGCGCCTCAGGTCGGGTTTGTGGAACTTTTATAGAGCAGAAGCGGGATACAGAAGCAGAAGCACGGTTATTGGCTAATTCAAACTATTACAAAATGCTATGGGGAAAGCGGGTACAAGGTATGAGAAAGTAGGGTGGCTAAATGGGTGGTGACCTCTGGACACAGACGTGGTTTCCTGATTTCCCGGTATTGAACCCGGGGGACGACCAGATGTTTCAACCATAAAACTTATCAGTAAGCCAGATGTCTCAACCATAAAACTTGTCTATCAGTAAGTCCAGATGTCTCAACCATAAAACTTGCTAATCAGTAAGTCCAGATGTCTCAACCATAAAACTTGCTAATCAGTAAGTCCAGATGTCTCAACCATAAAACTTGCTAATCAGTAAGTCCAGATGTCTCAACCATAAAACTTGCTAATCAGTAAGTCCAGATGTCTCAACCATAAAACTTGCTAATCAGTAAGTCCAGATGTCTCAACCATAAAACTTGCTAATCAGTAAGTCCAGATGTCTCAACCATAAAACTTGTTAATCAGTAAGTCCAGATGTCTCAACCATAAAACTTGTTAATCAGTAAGTCCAGATGTCTCAACCATAAAACTTGCTAATCAGTAAGTTAGAATTCTTGACCGGTACGTGACCTGCCTGAGGGACTTCATGGCGCCTGACTTTTGTTTTTCATTCCTCCCTTTTTCTTGTAACTATGGAGGGGAATCTTTCCCTCCTTTAGAGATTATCAGGGTCATTGGTTTCTAGGGCTTGGTACTGGCTGGTCAGCACTAAGGTCTGGACAACTGATAACCTTTCTCGTATGAATTGAGTCAACCGGTTGAAAATGCAGGGGCCTAGGGTCAAGATTAGGAGTAGGGAACCCAGGGGCCCAATAAGAGGTAGAAGATAAGGCAGAATTCCGTTCCACATGCCCCACATGGGGTTAGCAAAAAGCTCTTGGCGCCTTTTTTCTAGCTCTTCTTGGTGCTTTTTAATCCGATCTCTGACGATCCCGGACTTGTTGGTATAAAAACAGCATCTTTCCTGTAAAGCTAAACAGATACCTCCCTTGTCTGCTGTTAGTAAATCAAGTCCCCGTCTATTTTGTAAGACAACCTCGGCCAGTGAGTCTACCTGGTCCTGAAGATCTTGTACAGACCGATAGACCATATTAACATCATCAATTAACTGCTGAGATAATTTGTTGTAAGTGTCTATTGCCACTCCTACACCAGCTGAGCCAGCAGCAAGTGTTCCTGAGATACCCAGTCCAATAAGCAATGGAATAAATTGGACC